CGTTTTCTTTTTTTTCTTTTTTTTTTTTTTTTACTATCGTTTTTATAATACCGCGAGCGGTTTCAATTTTCGAGGGTACCTCAACGAAAAAAAAGTTAAGGGTGTCCAATTTCTATTATTGAACTATTTTTAACAATATTGTCGCAAACACATAGAGGAACTTTTTTTTTCTTCTTTTAAAAATGAGTGCACGTCACGCTTGAAGAACAACTTTACTAAAATTCCAAACCATGTTGGTCGGTAAAAATTGAATTCGAACGTAGACACTCGAGGCTAATGGAGCTCCAGGACGCCATCGAGCTTCGAGCCAACACTCGACGCGTCGTTATCGGCGTCGATTTCAATTAATCGTTTCACCAAAGTGAATAGATAGCGAACCGAATAGATAGGTCACTCTTTTTTCCCCCGGCTTATAATCGGGCACCGTGATATTCCACATGGTGCAATCAATCATCTTTCGACTATCACTTAAACAATCATTCTTCACTCGTATCGGAGATATCGGATTAGCGATTTAGATTCCTCCCGTTTCATTAATTTTTCACGAATTCCTTCCAAATTTTTCTCGTTAATTTTCCAGAATTCTTCTGTCGATGATCAGCATCTTTAATCTCAGTGCTCGTAAACTGTCCCCACAGAACAGAATTACACGTTTTCCAGCACTCTTACTTAACGCTCGAAATTTTTCAGCTTCGATAGTCGAATATCTCCCGATTCTCAGAATTTTTCACAAATTCTTTTTATATCTCTTACAAGCCGGTTCTCTCAGATCGCAATTTTGCTGGACAATTTCCAAACCTTAAGCCTTAACTCTTAATCACAAAACCATCTAATTTCAACGTCCAACCAACGTCCCCGTCCTCTGCAACTTCTCTTCGTATCCTGCACGGCAATGTCGGTGGTAGCAGAAGAGGTACTCTTTATCAACGATCTCGTTCGACCACGTGTCGTTTCGTACAATCCTCGTCATCCTCCTTCTTCCACCCCTTTGATCGGTCAGGCTAATTAGCCAAGGGACGAAAAACTCTGGCGGCGCGTATTCTCGTTCCTCGTGGTGGTCCTCCGCGCGGCGGGGCGAACACGGCCAGCGGCTTAATATTGCAAATCGGATTTAGCCTTGGGCGCTGGTCGCGCATGATTATCGGCGTGTCGGCATTTCATAAACGCGTCCACATCAAACGCAGCTGGTCGGTCGATCGCGATAATATTTGTCACGTAGTTGCGGTGCGCGGCGGCGGCGTACGTATCGCGGGATACAGGCTAATCGATCGGCCTTCCTCTCTGTCTCTCTTTCTCTTTCCCTCTCTCTGTAT